TTTGATGTGGTGCTTTTTTGAAAAGAAAGTTTTTGGTTTTCCTTTTTTTTAATTAGGCCTTTATTCTTTATACCAATGACATCAAACCCAAATAAAAATGGAGGCCACTAAATTGGATTCCTGCAGGCTGCATGTTGACTTAGAAAATCACATGTGTTTATACATTTCTTAATCAACAAATTAAAATCAAATAGGAACCAGATATAATTAATAAGTAAAGAGTCATTATGTTTTCTTCTGAGCTACCACCAAATTATCATGAAAACTATCTCCTCATCTCCTACAATCACTTATCACTTCACTGCAATATTCCCTCTAATTCCTAGTCTCATGTGTGGAAAATCTGCTTTGTACACTTTTTCTCAAACAAAGTATAAGTTTATGCACGAAGTACAAGAATATGAGTAAATTACAAATGGATGTAATACTTATTTCTTAGCTAAAGTATAGAAACTTAAAAGTAGAATTATATGTCGCATGCATGCTTGAAAAATTGTGCTTTCAGGTTATTTTGGACTCATGACAAAAGCCTCCTGAAATTTTATTGTTAGCATTTTTCAGAAATGACTGAATATGTGATAAGACAATTGACTGCTCCAAGGTCACTCAGCTGACTTAGTTTGTGGGTTTCATGTTTTTTACAATATTTAGTTATGTATAACTTAATGTACTCTGAATTGTATGGAGTTGCTTTACTTTATCAGTACTTATAGTAATAAAATATATGGTGGGGTTTTTTTAAAAAGAGAAACAAGCTAAAGTATAAGAGAGAAACCCAAAGGGGCTTTTTCAAGAGGCAACTGGACTTTCTGGTTTTTCTTTGAAGTTCTTTTGCTTCTCATACAAGAAGCTTCTTCAGCTCTGAAGAATGGATGAGAAATGAAACATCTTCAAAAAAGTGCTTTGGGACAACCATGACCTGGATGACTGAGGATCTCCATAGACATATAAAGAACTATATAGAAAATGGGGAAAAATGTAAGAGTAATTTTTTTGCTGAAAAGAATCAACAACAGTGAAGGTAAGGTTAGTGTTCTGCTACAAAAACAAATATAAAAGCATGTGTATAATGAGCTCCTGTCTCCAAGATGAGTGGAAAAGATTTTATGGAAAGTTGTCCGTTCTGAAGTTGGAAATTTTATATGAAAGATCAATACTGCTTTTATCCAATTGTTTATATCTCAAAGAACACAACATATTTGTTAACATATCATGTTGCCCTAGTATAACTTGATAATGAAGCATTATACAATTTTCTTTTATTTTTCTCCCCAAGCACCAAGTATGTGAGGTTTAATTCACATCTCTGCCTTTATTATAGTTTTACATATTTTAGTACCTTCTGCATTATAAGACTCCCAGAATGATACTGAGTTCAAAAGAAGAAAGTAGAGATTAAACTAATAAGACATTTTTCATTATATAGTTTATTTGCATCATCATTGTCTGATATTTTCCAATTTAGAATTTTCCCTGTTTTGAAAAGATAACATGTGAATCACACTATTTATATTCATAGTGAAAAGGGGGGGAAACCCCAAGATAATAAATCTTCACATGCTAAATACAAAAAAGCAATCCATTCATTAACATGAAGCAAGAGTTTGCCATCAAGATTATCAGTAAATGGCACCTCAGAGGCTCTGTATCCCATCTTTTAAGCAGTTGTTAGGAAAATAAACTGTACAAAACTTACCAAAACATGCCTTTTTATCTTCAGCCAGTTTCATTAGATGAGGGCAGGCACAAGCAGCACTCCTGTTATGATTTATCAGGCACATATGGGAGCAAGGACCTCTGCCACTATTAGCAGCACAAGGATTAGGAGCTAAAATTAAAAATGTAATACTGAGTTTGGTTTATAATACACATTTGCTTATATTCATATATTGTATTGTTTCCTATTCTTCAGGATTTCATACTAATTGACTGATCATAAGAATGTAATTGAAGGGGGGGGGGGGACAAAGGTATATAACCTGCAGAGAAGTGAGATGTATTAGCATTCAATTATTATTATCCAATGATCATTCCAAAGGAAAAGATGCTGAGTTGGATCTTGCCCATGGAAACATATAAATTATTGCTCTTTAACATAAAGTGACAGATATTTCTTCTTTTTATGCAGGCTGGAAAAGAATTTCTAGGAGTGGAAAACAGGGAACAACATTAGTTTTACCATAAAAGAGGCTCAGAGATATGTATATTTTCAATTTTATTTTTGTTTTTGCTTTAAAGGGGGGGGGGGAGGTGAGCCCTTGCATGCTCATGGCAGCATGAAGGCTTTCTTCAATTTTCTTCTTCAGATGACTTAAGTACTGTTTTCTTGATGCACTACTGGGTTCTTTGATCTATTGGTACATTCTTAGAAGGGAATAAATTTCATTGGAAGGGTTTGAGTGGAATCTTCTCTGTTGTACTGAGTCCAATACAGATGATCATCTGGCCTTAAAGTCTGGTATTACGAAATCTGATCAACTGGATTTTTGAATTGAATTCCACTGACAATAATACTTATTTTCTGCATTCAGGATTGTGCCCAGAAGTTGGTTGATGGATTTGGTAATGGCAGAGATGTTCTCAGTTGGTATTGACACCACTATATATTTTCTGTTTCTTTACTTATTGAACAAAGTTCTTATAACTGGGCTTCTGATCAGGATTCATGTCCAACTAGATCAATGATGGCTAACCTTTTTGTTGTTGCATGCCAAAAGTGTGTATATGTGCACCCATAATGCAATGTGCATGTGCCCCTCCATGCGCCCCAACCCACATGCATGTGTGTGCCTCCTGCATGTGCCCCACACATACATGCAAATCCCCCACACTTGCCCCACCCGCCATGCATGTATGTGACACCCTTGTGCCTCACTTCCCCTCACATTTGCATGTGATCCCCCACATGCACCCCATGCACTTCATATGCACTCCATCCCCATGTGTGCATGTGTATCACCTTCATGTGCCCCCCCCCCATGCATTCATGGCAGAGACCCGAAAACCACCTGGCTGGCAGGAGGCGCACATGCATGCATGGTGGAGCTGAGCTGGGGCAACGGCTTG